AAATCTTACCTAGCACCAAGTTAATTCATACAAAATATAATAACTAATAAGATGTATGGTGAAATTTTAAACCACAGGCTGCCGCTGTTATTTGCAAAAGTTAAGAATAAATGTAGAAATAAATTTACTTAAATCGAAGATATTTTTTATCCGCATACCAGATTTATTTAATAAAATGGGTATGAGCGGCGACATCTACAAGAGGTGTGTTTCAACGCATTGAATGTTAATAAGGTTTACTACATTTACACCAAAATATTCCCATGTAGTTCCGCAATTTAACAACAAATAATCAGTAACCTAATATATTCTGTTTCAGTATCTCTATGGAAGAAAGTTCTTGTTAAGAACAGACCATGCTACTTTGAAATGGCTGTTGCAGTTTAAGAATCCCGAAGGGCAGGTAGCTAGATGGATTGAACGATTACAAGAATTTAACTTCGACACAGAACATCGAGCTGGGGCAATCCATCGGAATGCCGACGCACTTTCCAGAAGACATTGTTCCCGAGCAGAAGAGAAAGAAGTGAAACTCCTAAGAACAACTGTGGTTAATGATAGTTGGCAACCCGAAGATCTTGCAAATGACCAAACCAGTGACCCAGAATTAGGTTTAGTAATTAACTGGAAAAGCGCATGCCAAAGACCAGCGTGGGAAGAAGTTTGCAGATATTCGCCGAACGTAAAGTCGTACTTGGCCCAGTGGAATTCCTTGGTAATAGATAACGGACTACTTCGCCGTGTGATCGAGAGACAGGAGAGACAAGAAGAGAGAAGGCAGATCGTCATTCCAAAGAAGATGGTCTCAGAAGTCTTGGAGGAGGTTCACAATGGAACCAGCGGTGGACATCTGGGTGTTACCAAGACACTTGGCAAGCTGCGTGAACGGTTCTACTGGGTGAACTGCAAAGAAGATGTGAGGGCCTGGTGTAAGAAATGTGACATTTGCGCAGCCATCAATGGGCCACAAAAGCGTGGTAAAGCCCCTATGCGCCAGTACAATGTAGGCAGTCCCTTCGAACGAATAGCGATCGACGTGGCTGGTCCTTTCCCGGAGACGAACGATGGCAACAAATACATTGTGGTAGTAATGGATTACTTCAGCAAATGGGTCGAGGCCTACGCGTTGCCAAATCAAGAAGCGTCCACGATTGCTGATGCCCTTGTTAAAGAATGGATCTGCAGGTTTGGTGTTCCCATGGAGCTTCATTCAGATCAGGGAAGAAACTTTGAGTCCAATCTGTTCCAAGGCGTCTGTGAAGTCCTGAACATCCGCAAGACCAGGACGACTGCTCTACATCCACAATCCGATGGGATGGTTGAACGCATGAACAGAACTATCAACCGTTATCTGGCCAAAGTAGTCTCTGACCACCAAAGAGACTGGGACAAATTTCTTCACCTGTTCCTGTTGGCCTACCGTTCATCCGTCCAAGAATCTACAGGGCAAACTCCAGCCAGCATCGTTATGGGACGGGAAGTGCGCCTACCCTGTGATCTGAAATTTGGTTGCCGACCGGGAGAAGAAGTCGCCGGAGAAGATTATGTCCACACACTACGTCAAAGGATGGACGACATTCATCAGAGAGTCCGCCTAAATATTCAAAGTGCTAGTGACCGAATGAAGGAACACTACGACATTCAAGCTGAGCATGGAGGATACCAACCAGGGAAGTTGGTGTGGCTATATAACCCGCAGAGACGTCGTGGGTTATCTCCGAAGCTACAATCCTCGTGGGAAGGGCCATACGAAGTCATGGATAGAATTAATGACGTCGTATACCGTATCAGAAAATTGCCAAAAGGAAAACCGAGGGTAGTCCATTTCAACCGTTTGAGCCCCTACCAAGGCGAAATAGAAGATCGTGCTGGGACCGTGAGAACCTGCAGCTTTGATCCCCCTGATTCGGAGATGTCCTTTGACGATTTCATGGCCCGATACAACAGCAGTGAGAAGGCTCGCTATGGTGTAACCAAAGAAGATCAACGAGACCTCTTTTCCGTGCCTCCTGATTATTCGCTCGCTCATTGTGTGGCTCGAGATTTGCGGATGTCCAGAGGAATCGCTGCGACGTTCAATGAGAAGTTTGGGCGTGTCGGAGAACTACGCCGACAGGATCCAGAGGTTGGAAGCGTCTTGAGGCTAACCGACAATGCACATGGTCAAGCAAGGCACATCTTCTACCTGGTCACCAAGGAATGGTCCCCGAGTAAGCCGACTTATCTCAATCTATGGAAGACCCTGATTGAACTGAGAGAAGCCCTGCTAAACAACAACATTGCACGATTAGCCATTCCGAAGCTGGCGTGTGGACTCGATGGTTTGAGTTGGCGTACAATCCGGAACATGATTGAAGTCTTGTTCAGATTTACGGGAATCGAGATCCTCGTTTGCTGCTACAACCCAAAGCTGAGATCGGGAGAGAAAACTGTAGACTGCTATTTCTACCAGACTTCGCAATGTACCAGGGGCCAGCTTTGCAAATACCTTCATTCACCGTGTACATCTCGGGACGAGCATGTACCTAAGAAGGGGGCAGTGTTGCGGACCGGTGTGGACTCGACCTAACCTAACTATATGGCCCGCCCTCGGATGACCTTAACATCGCATTAAAGAATAGACACCGTAATGATTCATTCGAAGATTCGAGAAAAATCGAGTTCCACTGGAATGGAGTAGTACATACGAGAACATTCGAAACCTTCTCTATGCACCTAACGATCTATGGACTATTCTAGTAAACTTTAACTGTAGGTATAAAAGCCGGCGGCTGTGGCTTAGAGAGGGCAGTTATAAATAGACGAGTGCAGTTGACGCGCTAAAATTCAAAATAAATTCTTAGTTATAAATCGTTTGTACATAGTTCTATAAATCTCTTATCGTTATTTCTTATCGTTATTGTTTTTGTTAATTAGTGTTAAATAAATAGTGTTTAAATAAATTGTGACTTTCTATCCACACGGAACCGACGAAAAACGTAACATTATTTTGAAACATACAGGGTGTCTCAGAACTAAGATCCATACCAAAGTTATATTTTGTCTTATGGAACACCCGGTATTTTATTTCATTTTTGGATTCTTGGGCCCAAAAAAAGACATTTATTATAAAGGGTAAATATGTTTAAAATCTTTGGTTTTTGAGATATTTAAAGATATTTAAATATGCACTCTACAAAAGAATTGATTATTAACACCGTGTACATTACTTTTCAGAATTAATTCTGGTGCTGAGTTTAAAGGTAAATAAATAAGTTTTACTGAAAAATGTCATTGCTTCCTTAAATTTATACAGGGGTACCAAAACTTTATGATCTATATTAAGGATTTATTTTACATAAAAACTTTGTTATTTCAAATGCAACACCCTGTATTTTTTTAAATAAATCGAAGCAGATTCAAATGCTCTTTCAAACTATATTAAGGTTTCCTATACCTATCTATCTCAGATTTTGAATAAAAAGCGATTTTTAAATAAAATGGCATGGCAATCAAGATAGCTAGTATCGCCATGGCAATTTTCTAGTGACAGTAAATATTTTCAAAATCGACATTAGTTTATGGACATTATTATTTAAACAGTTTACTAAAATTTACCTACAATAGTTTAATAAGTAAGTATTCTTTATTTTATGAAGAAAAATAAAGCCGTATCTGCTGGCGGAACGAATGGATATGTTACTAGTGATTTTATTTTGTGAGGAAAATTATTTCTTGGCCTTAAGAGCTTATGCTCAGAGATATCCAAATAGGAATCTTCCTGATAAGTGTTCCTTTGAAAAACAACTTGTCCTATTTCCTATTTCGCAGAGTTGGTAGTGTAGTTTATTAAAAACCTATTAGGCAGAAACCTGTCATTGGAAGTGAAGGAATTGAATTTGCCGTAATTGGCTCTTTTATAGAAAATCCATATATCTACAAGTATTAAACTATTGTAGGTAAATTAAATAAAAGTAAGCTGGTATAAATTTAAATAAAGTCTATAAACAAATTTCGATTTTGAAAATAGTTACTAACTGTCACTAGAAAATTGCCATGGCGATAGCAGCCATCTTGATTGCCATTTTATTTAAAAATCGCTTTTTATTCAAAATCTGAGATAGATAGGTATAGGAAACCTTAATATAGTTTGAAAGAGCATTTGAATCTGCTTCGATTTATTTAAAAAATAGAGGGTGTTGCATTTGAAATAACAAAGTTTTTATGTAAAATAAATCCTTAAAATAGATCACCAAATTTTGGTACCCCTGTATAAATTTAAGGAAGCAATGACATTTTTGAGTAAAGTTTATTTCTTTACCTTTAAACTCAGCACCAGAATTAATTCTGAAAAGTAATGTACGGGGTGTTAATAATCAATTCTCTTGTAGAATCCAAAAATGAAATAAAACACCGGGTGTTCCATAAGAAAAAATATAACTTTGGTATGGATCTTAGTTCTGAGACACCCTGTATATTTCAAAATAGTTTTAAATTGTGCACATTGCCTCGCCACATATTTCGTATAATCAACCGAGGCGAATGAGGTGCGCCACCCTGTATAATTTGAAATCATTTAATATATTTTAGTATATGATTACACAATAATCTATGACAAATAGAATTTAATTTAGTAGTACAACATTTATTTAATGTTTAATTTACCACGGAAAACATAATTATACAGGGAGAGTCTTAAATAAGTGCAAATATTTTTAGAGGTAATATATGTCGACCCCAGAAACATGAATTTTGGAAAATTTGAATTTTTTTAATTTTTTTTTAGTTTTTAGTTAAAAAACATATTTTGTTGATAATATGGCAACATAGGTAGTAGAATAAATTGACAAGAAAAAAAATCCAGAAAAGATCTAGTGGTTGTCAAAATTTTTAAAATAAAATTGCGTATAAATTGTGAAGCTCAAAATGTTTTAGTATCTACTTGATATTGAAAAATGATAGAGAATTGTAAAACTAATGCAAAACGTTGAAACGTGTAATTGTGTTCATTTGTCACTGACCTTTTTCTAAACTGTCTATTTGATCGTTAGTAAATGACGTCCTATTTCTTTGAAGTTTCCTTTTGAGCCGCAATCTCGCTTGATCGTCATCCGTTCCTATGCTAGATCCAGCATTAGAGTTGTCTCCTGAGTTTGTCTCATCTGAATTCAGACCGTCCAAATCAATAACTGAAACAAAAGTGGATTTTTAGAAAAAAAGTATGATAACTTCTGTGTATTATGTTAAGGCTAAGGTTATTATCTTAATGCTAAGGATACTTGTCTAGTGTTAAACTAACCAACTATTATGCATACTAACAAAAAGCATGATATTTTGTAAGAATTCGCTTATTTTTGTAAAATAGCAATGATACTATGCGTATCATTCAATGGTGTATCATTGCTATTTTACAAAATAGCAATGATACGCCATTTGATGCAAAAGAAGATAATACCTCTTTTTGAAACTCTATCAATCTTCTTGAGGTATGGCTTAGTAATGATTGAAGATTAATGGCTGAAACCTCCTCCGAAATTGTCATGCCATTTGGATAACAATTTGCCTTAGCCCCTTTTTACAATTTTTTTGCTTGCTTATGATTGTAACTGGGAAACCTACCGAAATCTCTTCTTCACGGTGAACTTGTAGAGGCTAAGAGGAAACCGGGTGGACAACTCAAAAGATACAAAGATGTTGTACATGAAAACTTAAAGGGGATAAGTATGCAGCATCAGTGGGAGGAAGCAGCGCACAATAGAACGCAATGGAGGAGAATTGTAAATTCAGTTGGCAGTAGTAGTAGTAGTAGTAGTAGTAACTGGGAAACGCATCTTTAAGACTTTTTAATTTTAACGCATTTTTAAGAAGTTGGTATTGAGCTTGTGTCAATTACAAATCCGTAAATACAGCCAGAGCTTCTTCAGGAGAAAAATTGCCGAATTGAATATTGGTGTCACTCATTGATTTTTTGAACTCAGTACCTTTCGATAGAGTTTCAGTTAAGGTTTCAACGATTACAAGAGCATCCTTATTCCCACTAGCCTTAAAGCTCATAGTAGTTGCAAAACCCAATTGTTCTTTCGAATGCTCTTCCATTAACCCTTTAATGAGTCTTTGTTTTGTTTTTATACTAACCGGTTGAAATGAGACTTTTGGGGGTTAAACTTGAAATCCCTGTGACTAATAAAATGCTTTATAGCTACGTTTTATTATATTTACGAAACTTGTTTAAGGAAAAGCAACTTTTTTCCACTTTCGATGTAAAACAATGAAAAATGATCGCAGCTGGGTCTCAACACCTTTCTGTTCATCGTCACTAAGAGAGTTGTGATGCAAGAATTGGTCAAACTTAGATGTTGCTTTTAAAAAACCTTTTTTCTTGAGGGTTTCAAAAAGAGAGACTCCTAAAAATTATATTTTACCACCGGTAAAAATAAATATGGAGGTGCCCGGTGGCGTAGAGGTACAGCTTTCGTCTACCAATGTCAAGGTTGTGGGTTCAAATCCTACAGCCGGCATTTCATCAGCCGACTATTTTTAATAAAATAAAAATAGTTTGGTTACCTAGGTCGACTCAGCCTTAAAATGAGTACTTGGGATTCACAATCCTGAGGTAATAATAGGCGGTTGAAGCGTAGTGCTAGCCACATTACCTTCCTTCTATACCGAAGGCTCTAGCATGGCAAGCTGTATCTTGCTACTCCCAAGACGTTAAACGCTATATACGGGAGCTATTATTATTATTAGATTGAAATCATAAATTTTTCTCTTAAATCTTAAAGTCTCTTCTTAAATCTTAATTTTTTTCTAAGAATATAAATCCATTTTCAATCAGACATTCTTTACCTTACAGTCTTCCAGGATAAATATAATATAAAAAATAAATCTGCCACTTCTCACAATCTCTCAGGACACGATCCTCCCTTCTTGGCTCCCCTAAATACGTCACGGAGGCTGCCAGAAGGAGTGCCGCCCCCCGCGATAAGACTCTCTCCGTTACCCCCTCCCCCGCTGGCGGCGGCGGCGGACGCAACCAACCAGAAAGTAATGATAAGGGCCGAAGGAAGTCAGACAGAGGCGGGACTTGGCGGATAGGAAAAGGGTTCTTCTCTCTCGTTTGAAGGGTCGCTTCGGTATTCGAATATGTGCGTGAGGCTCTGCTTGTTGTTTGTAGGGTACAGGCCCGGAATTTCTATGTTTTAAAGGAATATTTGTTTTGGATATTACTTCTTTCAAATGTTTTCTTATATAGGGTGATTCATGGCCATGGTACATTAGACTAGATTTGGGTGAAAACGTGATTTTACACTCACAGCGACTGTGATTTATATCGTTATCGTAATAATAACCTGTCCGTTATATTTTATTTACTGTTACTTCATAGCTTCGACTGTGATTTCACTATCAATCTGTCTTTTTATGATGACGACCACGACGGAAGACCACCGTATAGCGACAACACTAGACTATGCCCTTCTGATCATGTTATTATACAGAATGTCCCAGAAATAAGTGCAAGTATTTTAAGGGGTGGGAGATCTCGATAAAAGAAACATATTTTCTCTTTATCGTTTTTCAAATAAGTCGAAAATAACGGTGTTATTTTACTTTGAAAATTTAAAAAAAAAATGATTTTTTGCTAAAATTTTGAGAACCACTGGATATTTTCTGAGAGACATGAATGTCAATGTAATCGCTTGTTTTATAGATTATAGAAAAGCCTTTGACTGCGTTAACCATCAAAAACTTATAAAAGTCCTCAAAACAACCGGAATAGATAGAGAAGAAATTCGATTGATTATAAATCTCTACTGGCAGCAAAACGCAGTGGTTAAAATTGAAGGAACATCGTCAGAAGAAATCACGATTAAACGAGGTGTAAGACAGGGCTGTGTGCTGTCACCGCTCTTATTTAATATATATTCAGAGGCTATCTTCAAAGAAGCTCTAGAAGGAATCGAATGTGGAATTAAGATTAACGGGAAAGTGATCAATAATATCAGGTATGCCGACGATACAGTTGTGCTGGCCGAGAATGAACAAGATTTGCAGAGGCTAATGAATGAATTAGTTCGGCATAGTGAAAACTGCGGTCTCCTCATAAATACCACAAAAACGAAGGTTCTTGCATTCACCAAAACACCTGTGCAGATTCACCTGGATATCAACGGTGACCCAGTAGAGCAAGTGTCTTCATACAAGTATCTGGGGTGTATTGTAAATGATCAATGCGACCCGAAGAAAGAAATTAGAAGCCGCATAGAACAGGCTAGAAAAACATTTATAAATATGAGACAATTTTTCACAAGGTCAGATTTGAGTTTGGAGCTACGGGTACGCATGGTCAGATGCTACATTTTTTCAGTTCTCCTGTACGGGTGTGAGAGTTGGACTCTTGACATATCGTTAGAAAAAAAACTAGATGCCTTCGAAATGTATATTTAGCGCCGTATATTAAGAATATCATGGGTCCAAATAGTTTCAAATGTGGAGGTTCTTAATCGAATGAGAAAACAGAAAGAACTCATGCTTACCATCAAAGAAAGAAAAACACGTTACATAGGCCACATAATGAGGGGTAAAAAGTATGAACTTCTCAGATTAATAATTGAAGGCAAAGTCCAGGGCAAAAGATCTATCGGCAGACGCCAGAATTCCTGGCTAAAGGACATTCGTATATGGTTTGGTTGCTCATCAATCGACATATTTCGTATGGCTGTATCTAGAATGACGTTAGCTATTTGGATCGCCAACCTTCGAAAGGAGACGGCGTCGTAAGAAGAAGGATATTTTCTGGATTTTCTTTCTTGTAAATTTAATCTACCACCTATGTGGCCATATTATCAAGAAATAATTATGTTTTTTAACTAAAAACTAAAAAAAAATCCAAAAAATTCCGAATTTTCAATTTTTTTTTCGCGAAGGAAACTTAATAGGCGTCTTTCTGGGGTTGAACTATACTACCAGTTAAAATACTTGCACTTATTTCTGGGACACCTTGTATAAAATAAGGAAATAATTATTTACATTAATCTATAATATAATATGTATATACAGGGTCCAGCTATAGTGCATCGGACATCTGTAGCTCCTGTGCAAACCTAAATAAATTATGTCCTATGATGTATTTCAGGAAAATATTTTAACTTCTATAGGGTGGCTCAAAAAAGTGTGAATGGATTGGATTGGAATGATTCCTTTCAGGCCACTTAACATAATGCTAAGATATGAGCAAATATATTTTGGATAGTTTCAGAGATATTAAAAATAAATAAAAATATATATTTTTCAGTCTTTCTTAAATAAGTGTTATTAAGTTTATCTCGTTGAGCGGCTGATTGTTTTTATTTTTACAAAATTATTCTTCAGAATATATTTATTTATGTACTGCAAAATTTTATAGTGTGTTTTTGCTCAATGTCTCGGGGCGCCTCGCTGGACCTCGCATTTTTTGTGGCGTCTCGGGCCCCGGTGTGTACTTCCAGCATTAGGAAGTATAATTCGTGGAAATTCTAAACAAAAAAATAAAAAGGTAAATATTTTGATATCTTCAGAAGGTCTAACTTGCATTATAATTTATTATTCCAGTTAAAAAAAATTAGATGAGTTCAAAACTACGGTAGCGAGCATAATTTTATGTCTTATCACCGGTTTTGCTAGTGAGGTATAATTGGAGCTATTTCGCCTATAACGAAATTTTTTAAAGGTACATAATTATAATTTTAGAAGATGTCCATAAAACATTTAATCACTAGTTGATTAAAAAAGCATATACCATTAATATTGCAAGTTATATTTCATCCTCTTCGATCCTATTCAAAAGTGAAAGTTTATGGATTTACTGTTGGTGACGGTTGGTCTTGTGAACCCTTGTCTATTAATTTCTGATCGAAGACAAGGGTTCCTTCGAGGACGTAGTTCAAGTGGCTTATGAGGTAGGTATTGGGTTAAAAACATATGCCTTATTTTTTAGAAAACTGAATATTTGGGATCTTAGTCTTTAGTATCGTATAGATTTTAAAGGGAAGCTGAAGGCGGACTCGTACCGGGTTTGTCAAATTTACGCTTTTTCATTCTCTTTTTAATTAATCATTTATTCGTGGATTTTGTTTATTATTAGTTGCAAGTAAGCTCAGTAGTTAATAAATGTTGTATAGTATATGTAAGTAAATGCGACTTTTATTTCAAA